GGAAGAGGTTTGAGCGTACAGGGTTTCAGTGACTCTATAGTCCCATCCCAGGAGATGTCGCTTGCCGCGTGAGTTTAGTGGTTTTCTATGAAGGTGGAGCACATGGCATTCGAGACCAACGACTCTCGTGGTTTCAAAGTGGTTCCAAAGTTGAATTGTCTGCAGGCTTGTTGTTGTCGAGGCTCGTGTCTTTCCTTTTCTAGTTCCGGCAGCGCTATTTTGTTACAGATTTCTCCATTGCGAGCAAACATTGAGATACTCGTTGGCGAGTTGCTATTTGGGATCATTGCTTTCAATTTGACACCCGCTAGGAACGGTTGATATTTAAGAAGGCGGTGGCAAGTTGTTATTCTCCCCAGCTACGAGTGGTTTTGTTTGGTAACTCTTGGATAGTTTTTTTACTTTCTTTCTTATCGCCATAGCCCCTAGGGCGGCACACGATCACTGATATAAATAAAAAAAAAATTCTTTCTTGTGCGTGCCAGATCCAATGAATCCAACAGGCCAGGCCAGGCCAGGCCAACCGGAGGCCTGGACTGAATAGTCCTGGATATTTCCACTACCAGTAATTGACAGTTGCGCCTTAGGTATCATCATCGAAGAATTGAGTCCTGTCTGTTGTATTATCTGGAAGGTCCATCATTTCTAAAATATTTCTTAGTATATATACTTGAATACAAAGTGTGATACATACTTGACGAAAGTCGTAGACCGCTGCTGTTTAAATATTCTAGATATACGGGAGATTCTACTCATTTAAATACTCAACTAATCTGGTAGATGCTGGCCTCAATTCACCTGGATAGCTGTGGAGTGATTCGTTTAATTGGCTTGAACCTGCCTGGATGGCCTGTGCCGGCCTGAATGGCCTGGACTGGCCTGGTTGGCCTGATTCATGTGGATCAGGCCGGTCCAGGCCGGTCCAGGCTGGTCCAGGCCACTGAGAATACCGGCCTGGACCGGTCCACGCGGTTGCAGTCCAATGCAGATCATGGCCTGTTGGATTCATTAGCCAGATCTGCTGTATTTGTAGTATATGAGCTGAGCGTCATTGACCCTCGGAGAATTGTATTTAACTTTAGCTTACACGCATTGTCCGTCAAAAAGGAGCTTTGCACATTGACGCATGGCAAAAAGTTTAAACGTAGTAGCCAGATATGTATCTGGAAAAGAATTCAACTCTTTTTTTACTGCAATCCTAGATGAATTACATATCTCTCAGAAGATAAATCCATACAAGGGGGCTACAACATCCATATCCCGAATTCAATTAATGAAGTGGCCGGTAGAGGGTTTCTTGAATATAAATTAATCTGACCAAGTGTGGGTTTGCAGGCAGTAAATTCAAAGTGTGCTGATGTTGTAAAGGATTGATGAGAGAATTTGGATGAAGGACTGGAGTGTGGTATGTCGGGATTTCCCGGATATTTGGTGGAGACTATATACAGATTCAATTTCCGCATTTCCAATTCAACCAATTGTGTGGAATATATCTTATACTTGTATCCCATCTGCTTAACCTCTTGGCTGCCCAAGCGAGACCTGTGCACATGTTTTTTTTTTTTTTTTTAATATCATTACTCGCGTGCCGCCCTATGGGCTATGGCGGGGTATTTATTGAAAGAGAAAGAGAAAGTACGCTAAATACAGTAGGGGTCCCCGTATCCTTCTGTGTGTTGGGGAGAGAAAAGAAGAGTAAGCACTTGTCAATACGACCTATTTCCTCCGTCTGTCCGGCTGGTATTGACTGATCCTCAACCATTTCCCACCTAGCCTGACTCTGTCCATGTCGATCGCTGCCTCCAAGTACACCACGGCCGAGCTGGTCTTCTTGCCTTCTTCCAGCAGCGCGGTCTTTTTTCTCAGCCACCTGAACCCAACTGTCTTGCCTAGCCCTGCATTCCCAGACTCCAACCATTTCCGGACTTTCCCCAAGTCTTTTCTCAGGGCGATTCCATGTACTACGACGCCGAATGTTTAGGTGGTGGTGTGCACATGTTGTCATTATCAGTATGGAGTATGTAGGAGAACTGCTTCTGGCGATTGCAAGTTCAAAGCATAATTGTGATCAGGAAAAGATTATAGTCGTAATGATCGTAATGAGCAAACAAAACCAGCTTTTTGCATTATCTAGCTCTGAGTTTTTGCTATATCCATTCCATGCCATAATGTAATGTGATGCAATGACAATGCTGCGTTTGTGGAAGAAAAAAAAATAAAGAGGTTGATAAGATAAGCCAAAAAAAAAGAAAGCAAATGGGGAGCATGGTTGATATAACTGATGAAGAAATAAGAAGGCATGAAAAATTGAAAAGATGAAAATAAGATGAATGCGGAAGAAATACAAAGGTGTAACTGTTTTCTTTCCTTTAATTCCGTTGAATATCCGTTACTTTTAGATCTTTGGCTCCAGGGCGGCTTAAAGCTTAACTCCGGCTTCCGTTCCTCCGCCAAGTCCGAAGGACTTCAAGACATGCGGCTTCTTTCCTTTCGGATCAACTTGGTCCTCACTCTCCTCCTCTTCCTCTTCCTCCTCTTCATCATCATCATCCACCTTCACCCACCCCTCCCAGCCCTCCATCACCACGTACTCCAGTCGTTTCCCCGGCTCCACCATCTCCGTTCCCTGCTCGTCGACATAATCCAGCTCGAGGTTCTCCGGATGGACTTCTTCCCAGTGTCCCCAGTTGGGCATGATATGTCCGCACAAATGGCATCGTTTGGCATAGAACTTTGACAGCTCCTCGTCATCGGAAGCGGGGTGCCACAGCGCTAAGCTGGCGATGTGCTCGCTGGAGTTGGTGGAGAGGTTGTAGTCGGAGTCGAGTTCGACTGTGGCGGGGCGCGGAGGGGATGGCCGATCGCGGCGGAAGCGCTTGAGGATCGAGCGGAGGCTGGGCTTGTTGTGGGACTTGCTGGGTCCGGGTATGGTGGGACAGGGGATCATGTTGGAACCTGGGTCGGTGTCGACACCAAAGGAGGGGGGTGAAGGGCGGGCGTAAAGACCTGTTGAGGCAGCAGCTGTGGCTGCCGCTGATGACGGGTCACGTTTTCTTCTGTGAGTCTCTTGTGGACTGGGCTCATCAACGCTGACGTGGGTGCTCTGTGCTGACACCTCGTCGCTGCGTGACAAGGTTTCGCTGCCAGTAGCAGGGCTCAACAGTACCAGCAAGGCGATGCAGGTGGCTGCGACGGAAGCCATAAGCTTCTTAAATCCTGTTCTAGAGCTGCTGGCCGCCGCTGCACTTGTGGACTCTGTGGGCATAGGCTCTCGTATGACAGTAACGGTCGTAGTTTTGATTAGTCGTTGGGTTGTGGTGGGTGAACGCGTAACACTGAAGTAAGTTAGCTTTTTCGTATTTAAGATTTGAAAGGATATACGAAGGCCGAAAGTAGAGTGCTCACTTTTGTTGTTCGTCTGGCGTGGAAGACGAGGAGGTAGTATTTTGAATTGTTACTGGTGGAAGACTTGAAGTGAGCAATGTTGAAGTGATAATAGTGGAGCCAGATGTTATTGTAGATGTCGGAGATGTAGGCTGCTCAGTAGTAGGTCCAGGGAATATAAAGTTATAGTCGTGTTCAAGATTTTCCAGCTTTCCGTCAGTTCCATTGAGATATTTCAGTCTTCGGGTGAGTAATGAACCCATGGTACCATCGTTCAGTTGGAACTCGAAAGTGCTATTTTTGGTATGGAATTAGCGCTGGTATTGGAAATAAATGGACCATGGAACTTATACATAACGGGAACTTACTCAGGGTTGTAGCAGAAGGAGAAATTGGTCAGTTCTCTAAAGCCTGCACATTGCTCGTCTGGTCGATTGCCTATGTGGCGACGTTGAATGAATCTATGGTCTTGTGCATGATCAAGGACTCTAACTTACAGCAAAGATTAAAAATCTCTTCATAATCCTCTGGTTTTCCGTTAAAGTTGTCCCCAATTGTTCCGAAAGTAGGTAGCGAGAATGAGGATGCTTTGAGTATAGTTTTTATTCGAGATGCTCGTGTGATCATCGGGAGATTTTTTCTTCCAGTGATATCTGTCTGCCATTCTTTTCTCTCACCACCATCATGATAGATTTGAGGCCTGTGATGCCGCTTGAAGGCTCCAACAGTCTGAGGGAAAATTGAAACGGTATTGTTAGAAATTAGTGAGTTTTCAGTAAAGACGGCTGGGAGGGGAGTCAAATCGGTCGACTCTTGCCGCTTTCTCTGCCTATCGGAACCCGGATCGCGAGGATTGATAGGACGATTTCTTTGGCTCAATAAATCAAACTCAGTACCAATCTTGACAGTCATAGTGGCGGTAGGAGAATAAGCCTTGACCGAAGCCTTGCCCGTCAAGACCACTAACTCCTGTGCCTCTCTCGTAGGCTGTGGACGACCCTCTTCGGCTTGGGTGACCGTTTTTGTCTTCCCACTGCCCTGGACGGCGTCGGCATTTGTGGTATCCGTCGGGGATGCGGTGGAGGTAGGTCGTGGCCCAGTGACAATTCCAAACAATGGTGCTGCCTTAAGCTTGCCGCCCTCTTGCACATGGTACATGACATTTGTGGGTCTGCAGCGAGGCTGGGTGGTGGCCGTGCAGCGGGAAGCGTGGGCGGGAGATGGGAAGTGAACGAGGAAGGCGAGTGTGGTGAGACCGACCAGAGAGACGAGCAGGAGCCTCATGGTGGGGAGACTGCAAGCAGGATTCAATGGCTGTAAGGAGTGTGGGGAGTGAAGAATGAATGTGAATGTGAGAAGGCAGGCTGAAACGGAGCGTATAATTGAGTGGTTGGATGGGATGCGTGGGCGCTGAGAGACGGTAAGGACTGTGTGGATGGAGAGTGGGCTTGCGAGACGGAGAGTTTTATGGCGTGAAGAACAGCGGAGCCTCTGAAGGAAAAAATTTCTTCAGGTATTGTTGGGCCATTAGAGATGCGACTGCCGAAAACAGGCAGAGCACAAAATCAGCATTGATTCGCTAAGTAGCAATTGTGAAGTGCTCCATACCCATCCAATCTGTTGTGGTGTAGCGGCTAGCATTTGAGATTCTCATCTTCTTTTTTTTTTTTTTTTTCGACAATGTGACCTCCCAGAACCCTGGTTCAATTCCCGGCGACGGAACTCCGTTATTTTCTTTTCACGTTATCCACATTCCACCCATGATAATGCACTATTGTGCTCCTATTTTTTTTGCTTTTAAATTGTTCGCCTGTTGCAGGTTTTCAAGACCTCATGAAGCTGCCGGGTATGAGATTAACCCAGGCCTGGAAGACCGGTAGTGCAAACCAGCACTTATCTACCCTGCATCTTTTATTGAAGGAATACGCTCTACTTACCTCTAAACCCGAAAATCAACCAGCCGATGGCAATGCCGGCCCAGAGAGCTGCCCGATTACTTCTGACTCAATGGCAAACAAGAACAGTTACGACAAACAAGCGAAGGAACCAGAAGAGGGGAGGGGGGAGAGGGGAGATATATAGTGGAGCCTTCCTGAGGCAGAAACCGGAAGGACCGTCTGGAGGTTTCTGGAATCAGGTTTTGGACCGTCCGGAGGTTTCTGGATTCGGGTTTTAGAAGTAGATAGAAATTTCTTTGTTTGCTTAGCCTGTCTCCGGGCTTCGAGGGCTTGCCCAGGGACCCTGCCATGGCTTGGCGCTGCAAGCAGGGTTATGTGATTTAAAAAAAAAAAAAAAAAAAAAAAAAAAAAAAAAAAAAAAAAAAAAGCGAAGGAACCGTGGAGGAGCTGGTTCAAGAAGAGTGGAAAGGGAGAGCAAAGTGACACATGCAAGTGCGAGGAATCCAAAGAAGCAGCGGCAGATGCTGGAATTGGCAGACCCAGAGCCACAACATTGGATGAACTGAAAAGTTGCCACCACCGGAGGAGGGGGTAGATAGCTTCGTAGAGGCAGTGGCGTAGGCGTTACAGTAAGATGTGGCGATCGTAGTGTGTACAAAATCTTCTTCCGCTCACACACGTAAGTCGTGCTCCGTCAGAGTCACGAAGGGCTGCATACAGGTTATGAAAACAGAAAAGGTCTGACTTCTTTGAATTCAAGAATATCTAGTTATCCTCATCAGACGACAGTATTTTATAAAACATCAAGCTCTCAAGAATTCGATTTTCCTGAACATTGTAGATACCACCACTACGTTAACTGCCAACAGGTAATCAAGCACGAGGTAAGAAGAGAAGAACAATGGCAACAGATTAGAGAGAAATGCTGCAGAAGCCACCACGATTCATAGAAGCCAAATTGCAACCCCGATAGCTGCAGCAACAAGCTGCTTCCAAGTACCAGTGGAAAACACCACCGCAACGGCATCAGCTTCCATGTCTGCACTGCTACCAGGGGTGGGAGTGGTGCTAATATTTGGGCTCCCGCTAGAGCCTGTTGCGCCCAAGTGGGATGGCCCCGTTGGCATCAGGGTCAGCTCGAGGTTCACACCAGTGGTGGTCCTGTTCTCGGAGAATGAGATACCAGGCTGAGTAGTGAAGCCAGTTATGGCATACGAACTTGATGTGATATTCAACGAGTTGCCGTCGCCCTGAATTGGAACAGGTTGGAACGCCGTTGGCTCCGGTGCGGAGACGGGTAGATGGATATGTGTCAATGAGGTTTCTTCAGGATAATTGAACGTCACTGTTTTGTTCTGATATTCATTCGATGGATATGGGGTGTGATGCTTGTCAGTTGAATTCCCGGTTGATGTATCATCTGACAACGAGTTAGGAGAGTTGGGCTCGTGGAGATGAAGCAGTTCATCCCCGACTTTGCCATCCTCCGAATGGGGTTCCTCTTCATCAGTATCAGAGCCACAAGACTCCTTTCGCGCTTTGAGCATAGGTTTGTATTCATATACTTCTTTGAGCTCGACAGTTTGGGTATCTCCATCTGAAGAGACGATGATTCCGGTCATCAAACTCCCGCGACTATTGTCTGGAAGAAAGAACTGTCCCGTCCTGGGCAAGTGTAAAGTAAAAAGGTTAGCACAGGAATTACCAGTGACCTACTTGGTTTCAGACGTAGCTAGACTCACTCTTTGTTAAAGCACACATAATCGAGCCAATCCCACTTGATGCAGTCGAAGCCCGTTTCAACGCCACCTAACAAGCAGAAGTCAGTTATCTGGTTTCTGCAAAAGCGAGGAAGACGTGGAGAACTGTAGAAAGATCCTCTACTTACAGCACATGTTTGCAAGTCCACATCGTTTTTCCCACGGGGTGCGGCATTCACAGCAGGTTGGCTGTGCAGGACGCCCACCGATTGAGCTTGAGAAGCCCGTCTGGGCAAGAGCGAGAAGAGGGAGAAAGGTTGCTGAGATGGTCATGAAGCGGGTCATGATTACAGACAGGATCTTCAGTTTCGTGTGAAGAGGTCTAGATCAAGTACGTGTAAGAATGGGGGACGAATTGCACTGTCGGAATGAGGGGTAGTGAAGAGAAGAGAGTTCAGAAGAGCGTAGCTGGACAGGTCCTGGAGCACCAGCCTCAAACCGGCAACTGAACTACTGCCGTGCACTGAAAGTGTTGGCTGTCCCGTGACTCACTAACCGTAAATGGGTAGAGGCCCACGAATGTCACGTGCTCCTAGGAACTGCTCCCAACGTCACGTGCGTCCACTTGTTCATGGGTGCTGTCGAGGAGGAAAGTGGACTAGAGGGAAGAACTAGGGGCTTGGTATGAGACTAGGAAGAAGGAGTAAATCACTGGAATTGGTCAAGGTCTATGGATCTGACTTTCTTCAACCTTGTAACGATGATTGTATTGTTGCTTGTGTTCTATGCTACAGAGAAGGCCTCCTCCTCCCTCTTGATATACCCGTAATTCTCAAGTACCCCCTTCCCCTTTTGGTAGTTTCCCAGTTCGTCAACCCGCCGAACCTTCTAGTACCCTCTCCCCTAGCCTTCCTTCCAGGTCACGTGCAATGCCAAGGTCCTCCCCATGTTTGCGACAGTGCACAATTTGTTTTTTTTGTTTTTTTTTTAAATCACGTTACCCCGCTTGCAGCGCTAAGCCATCGAAGGGTCCCTCATAGCCCGGAGACAGGCTAAAGGAAAATTTCTATCGACATGACGTCACTTCCCCCTCTCCGCCCCCCGCCCCCCGCCCCCCGCCGCTACAACTTGATTCCAGAAAAGAACCCCTCCAGCTCACCCCATTCTCCGCCGTCCGCTTCCAGTTCTGTTCCATGTCTCCCTATTCTCTCTGCACTAGCAAGCTAGGTGCTCCCCAGTCTAAACTCCCCCTCATGGGCTGCACAATTTTGGTGACACCAAGGTGGCCCTCAATGCGTACCCACTTGAGGAGTTCTTGTCCAGTCGTGTGGCTGTCCGGCTCGAACTTTAGGCCTCAGCAAGGCCAAATCACTATCTTGAACCCAACACATGAATCGGAGCTGGGGATTGCGTACAATGGCACTGGCCACGGCTGGGGCCGCAAGCCCCTGCAATCCTACAGGAAAGTAAAAACGGAAGATGAAGAGGGCTGCAAGGGTGGTGTACGCGGAAGCAGCGGTGGGGGATTCATGTAGATAGATAATGTAGTTGAGATTCTCCTCTATATGCTTGCCCCGTTTCGACCCAGGGGCCCTGACATAGCGAATAGCGATAAGCGGGGTTACGTGATTTATTAATGAAAAAAATACTACCATTCTTCATATCACTATAGCGTTCAGCTTAGCCGAACGATAGTACACTAATCCTGGCTAGAGGTGTACATCACGTTCGAATGATCTCCGATACATTCGTAAATAGGTTGAATTATCCTGCACTTCGAACAATTCGACAATATTGGTAGATGGCTCAACTTAATTGGCCAATCGCATCCATTGGTGTATCGGTCAAGCATTCATAATATTAGAGACCTTCCGCGAACGCCGTCTAGACCTGCGAAAACGCCACTCGACTAGGGTACGGTCTAGATGGCTTAAAGACCCTTCGCAAAATTTTGAACTGACAGGGGGTCAGAAAAGAAGGAGTGTTGCATTTTCAACTATGTAGTGGAATACGAAAGACTTTGCAATTGATGATGCCTCACCAATTAGTAAGAGAACAAATTGAAATTATCAGTAAATACAAATTCTTTATTGGATTTTATTGTTTCATGGTGGAAGCATCTTTTGGCATTTGATCATGTCCTATTAAATCTAGAAAAGCTAATGCAATATGCAAATGCTATACATCAGAAAAATAATTGTGCCTTAACTACATGTTGAAGTTTTATTAATAGAACTCTTCGAGGGATAGCAAAGACTTGTATGATGTCAACATACAGAGTCTGGCATGAGGACACAATCTACTTGTCGTAATGCAAGCACTGCTTAAAGTATTATGCAGCAGTAACACCACCTTTTGTCGCATCACAACTTGTTGCATCGGCGCCAAGATATTGGCAGGATGGTTTTCAACCCCCTCCCTGAACTTTCATTTGCCAATGCTTCTTGTGCATTTCTTGAAGAAGTCTTATATAAAGGTAAAGTAGAGACCTTCAGCTATCATTGGGTGCCTTCCGCTAAGGATTTATGTGAAATTCAAACCAAATTTTACCAGGGTACATTTCCACTGCAAGCAGGGGGTAGTTTCTCTAAGCACTTGGACGTGAGTAAATAATAAAACTTTTTGTTTATGCAGACATTTACACTTTAAATGCAGAAATTATGAGCCAGTGAACAAGCTGTCAATCTCACCACCAAAGACAACAGAAGCTCTCAAGCACCAAGAGAGAGCACTAGGTCTTAAGAAACAGCAGTCAAGTTTTGCTGGCAAGCACTAGGTAGCAGTCAGGTATTAATATATCTGAAAAGTGAAAGAGTAGAGGAGGCTGAACTGTCGGAGTGAAAATTTCTCGCTAGAGCATAAGAATGCATTACTGGATATTACATATGCAAGCAGGAATAGGTGCGAATGATGCAAATGTGAATTTAAATATCCTCTATATGGTATAGTTATTGTAGACTATGCTACTTCAGCAGTAGTGTACTCTAACTAACTGCTTTTGAAATTTATTGTTTATTGTTTATTCAAGTGAGTATTTTGAAAAGGGGGGGGGTACCCCTCTTTCAAAAAAATTGTTTCGAATGCTCTACCAAACAATAAAACAGGGATACGGACCCGGTTTTAT